GGCATAAAATCAAGCACTGATGGTATTGAAGGAACAAGTCCAAACTGCCCTGAAGGCATTGGCTAAAAAACAAGTCTCCAGGAAATGACAGAGTACAAAACTGAGATGTCAATAAATGGGTACAACATTGGAAGGATTCTCTCATCAATGCAAAACATTTGTAAGACAGCAGCTACCTTGCCCCCCAATGGGGCTGGGGATTCATGTTTGTGCCCATTTCAAAGAAAGATCACCTGACAGAAAACAACTAAAATTCTGCTAAAAATAATAAGCACAAAACAAAGCAAAACCAAATAATTGTGCATCAACATTCTCACAGTGTTAGTGTGACACCGGTCTATACAGTGTTTCATCCTATTGTACTTAGTGTCAATATAAGTTATGGAAGTGTCCCTGACAACTACACCAAAATGACAGAAATCAATGTTAATTCAAAGGGCTCTGGTGAATGAAAAGATATAATGAAAAAGAGTATTATGGATGGGACTTTTGACTCACTATAAATACTGAATAAATTACTGTTTTTTATCATTGTTGTTAAGTGTTGTTGAGTCGTAGGTGACTCATAGTGACTCTGTGAATGAAAGACCTGAACACTTGCTTAACCTTAATCGTTTCTCCAAGTTCATAGGGTTTCTGGAGGCAAGCTATTTTGGAAGTGGATGCCTACTTCCAAGCTTGTTTTAACTGGGGAGCTCCACCTAACACAGTCCATCACGGGTAATCAGTATCATATTGACACATCAGTGTCACAGTGTTCAGTGTCACAGCAACCATGAGTTACCTCTGTTCAGCATATGGACAGACCAGTGCTATAACACTTAGAAGAATGTTTGACCAAAAACAATTAAAACCATGCCTGATAGCCGCAGGCCCGAGGGCCCAACTGAAGTAAAGAACCAAGGCAAGGTTCAGACTCCATGAGCTCGATCATTCCACATTTCTCCATAATCAAGCATTCTTTTTACGCCCATCTGGGAGCATTCTGCTGCTTCCTCAATCTCCTCCTATTCTGATGCCACATGTTTCTTCATATAGCCTAACTTCTTGAATGATTTGTTCAGCATATAGACTGAATACACTTGAAGAAAATATAAAGTGTTAATGCACATCTTCTTTGATTTTAATCTGGTGTATATTCCCTTTCTCTGTTTATATAACAGCTTCTTGATTTAGGTGTAGGATTCATGTTGTTGTTGATGATTACCATCGAGTCGTGCAAGACTCATCACAACTCCATGAACAAAAAAAAGACCTGGAGGCCTTTCCGTAGATCTTCCAGAAGCATGTGCTTTAGGAAGTGGATGCCACTCCTGCTTCCCTACCTCTCTTAAAACTGGGAGCTAGGTATAATAATTACATGAGGAAATATTTATTTTAATAATTTTTTTTAGTTGATGAGAATGAATAGAAAGAACTTTAGAAAGAGAGAGAGAGTGTGTGTGTGTCTGTGTGTGTGTGTGTATTAATAGCAGTAATTCTATTTCTTTTTAAAACAGCTTTTGGTGGAAGATGACTGCTGCTTGAAACAAATACATCTTGGAGGAAGTACAGATAGAGTGCTCCTTAGAGTCAGGAGTGGTGTCTAGCCTGTAACATCTCACATGCTTTGGGCATGTTATCAGGCAGGGAAAGTCCTTGGAAGAAAGCAACATGCTTGGGAAAGTGGAGAGTTAATGAAGGAGAGGAGGGTCTTTAACAAGGTAGATTAACTCAGTGAGTGCACAGCACAGATTGTGAGGATGGCACAGAATTGTGTAAAGTTTGAATATCTTCTGCATAGGGGGCCCTGTGACTTGGAGTCAACAGCACCTAATGACTTGGATTGTATCTTTGCTAACGTCAGTAAACATAATCTCTTGGTTGTGTGTTAAACACTAGACTCTCTCTAGACACAATATATAGTGTCCCCCGCCCCGTCCCCGCATTAAAGCTGTATGTGTATTTTTCTTTAGTTTTGGCAAAATTCATCATACAATGACTTTGCTGATTTCCTCATCTATCTCATTTTTTTATAGTTACTATAGCTTTTGTTGTTTAAATGTTGGACCTTCTGGTTTTAAGTACCTTCTTTTTCTCTCTTTGTATTTTTGTCCTTTCTTCTGGGAAATGCCCTGAAATTTGTTTTTCAAACCTTCTGCTCTATTTTGTGTACTTATTTTGTAACTTTCTTTTCTTGTTTCATATATGCATTATATTCTGTCTCTGTGCTTTAATTTATTTTGGTCTTGCTAGAGGTTTTCTTGAAGTTTGTAGAGATCTTGGAAAGTTGTCTGTATTTAATTAAGACATTACAAACTGCTGTGTTAGTTGACCTTGTTGAAAGGTATTGAAAGGTAGACTCTAAGGTTTCAGGCATCTCTCCTTCATAGTAAGGATTGGGCACTTCCACTTTCTTTTTTCTTGAGAGGCCAATTTCAGTGGAGCTAAATATTGTAGTCTCCTGCCTGGAACACATAGGCTTGGCAGTCATGTTCTTTAAGGTACATGTGGGAAAGCATTGAGTTACTCACTATCCATGGATTCTTAATCTTCTTGTTTCAACATTTACAGAAAAGAATTTTTTGTCATGTTATGATAGTTTAGTTTGCCCTCTGGTGAAGAAACAAATCCGAGAGCCTACCTCTTTTTCATTATAAATTTTCCAAACTCCTTGAGACGAACTTTCACTTTGAGAAGGCAGTATCTCCAGTTCCTCCTGGGAGTGCCCAAAGTTTTGAAAAAAATGTACAGAGTATTTCCTAGAAGCTAGGGTAAGACAGACACTTTGGGCATGTTATCAGGGAGGCATCTTATTTCTGTAGCCTGTAACATATCACATTGTCAACTAAAAAGTTGGTGGTTTGAATCCACCAGCTTCTAGCAGGAGAAAGATTAGGGTTGCAGAGTGGAATATTTTTGGGGTTGGGGGTGTGGTTGGGGGATGTGCGGGGGCAGGGATTGTGTACCAATAAGGGAGTTTTTCTTTTGCTTTTCAAGGAGAGGAGCAAACGGGGAGGGGTGGGGGAGGGACGGGGTGGACGGGGAGAAGGGTGCAACAATGAATGAATGGAATTCCAAAATCTCTGTAGATGTTCATTGAAATGAAAAAGAAATAAATAAAAAAATATATAAACAGCTCAAATGTATTGAGAACTTACGGTACCTTCACACAGTGGAATACTTGCAACACTAAGGAGCAACCCTTGTAAAATACTATATAACATGGGAGAATTTAGAGAGCATTATGCTGAGTGAACTAACTCAGTCTCATAAGGACAAATACTATGTAAGACAATTATTATAAAAATAGAAGGATAACTAGTAAGATGTGGATAAATGTCCATAAGGGGAAGGAGAGGGAATCAAAGGGACAGAGGATGGAGAGGGAAGATTTCTAGAATAACAGAGTTTGTTGAGTGGAGGAGAGTGCAGTGAAGGAATTGGGAAAGATCAGACTTGAAAAGATGGGGTAATAGTAGGTACAGGTCAATGGTGATTAATTTTATAAAACACAATGTACATTAATGACCATTTGAAACACAATGTGAAGGGAGGAATGTGTGAAACACAGCATATAAGAAAGATACACAGCAGGTACGAACTTTGTATGGAAACCAATGTAAAAGCGGAGGAAAAACTATCTACAGCCTAGGAAATCTGATTTGAGGGAGTGACTTTTAGTTGGAGTTGACTCATTGCGGGTGGATTGTTCTCAGTAGGGGCCAGGCCCTGGAGAAAGACATCAGGAAAAGAAGAAGGTCAATGAAGGAGAGGGAGAGGAAGACCCTCAATGAGACGAATTGATACGGTGGCAGTAACAATGAGTTTAATCAGAGCAGCTATTGTGAGGATGACACAGGATCAGACAGGGTTCCGTTCTGTTATATGGAGCCTTGTTACTGGTCAGAGATGACTGATGGCACCTAACAGCCACCTTGGAGCGTTGAGTCATGAGGATGTTTGTTTTCTGGCGTTCTTCCTTGGAAGACATTTAGCTTTCTGGGTTTTTGTCAAGTTTGCTGAATCAATGAAGTATTGATTTAACTTGTTCTCCTTATAGCACAAATCATTGATTTTTACAGATTTAAGATCTTTTAAAATTGTGATTTTAACAAAAGTTTACAGAAAAATTGGATTTTAATTCATACATCATTGCACAATTTCCTCCCTCCCTCCTTCCCACGCCCTCCCCCAGTCCTCTTTGCAATGTACCTCTTATTCAGAACCATTGTGTTACGTATAATGAAACAGTTCTCTTCCTCATCAGTTCCAATACATTATTCATTATCTATCCAGTCTTTCTCTATTCTCCTCCGCATCACCCCCCCAGTCCTGCTTCATGACAGTGGTGTTATGCAGTATTTGTCTTTTTGACTCTCAGGCATTGCACTCAGCATAATGTCCTCCAGAGTCACCCATGTTGTGTAATGTTTTATGAGTTCATTATTTTTCAATTCTGTGTAGTGTTCCAATGTGTGAATATAGCATAGTTGTTTTGTTTTGTTTTTAATCTGTTTTTTACTAGACATTTGGCCGTTTCCACCTCTTTGCTATTGTGGACAAACATGGGTGTATGTAATTTAAAGAGATTTTTGAGGCAACATAAGTAAATATCTGTGTTTAACAATATCAAGTCTTATGTTGACTTTTTGTGAAATTGTAAAACAATACTACTTCAATAGAAATATTTTTATTGTTCTTTTAACTTGCATATACTTTACAGTTTTATGCCTAAATATAACAATTTTTATGAATCTGGAGGTTTTTCTTATTAGCTATTTTCCAAATATTTGGGGAGTTTATTACCCTATCCTATTCCTTATATCATTCATATCTTATTTTCTGGGTTTTTTCCACTTTAAATTAACTTATGCATATCTTTGGCCCAGTCATAGATAAGAGAATGCAGATTTAGTCTGCTGATATATAGCACAAGTAATTTGTGTAACTTAATTGATGCTATTGCTAAAATATTTAAATGTCATTGATATATTGGTATAATATACATTTAATTTCAGAGGACTTCATCTACAATAAATTTGTCACCAGGAGAAGTAGAAGAAGAAGATGATGATGAAAACACTTGTGGGCCCACTGGACTTTGGGAAGCTTTAACTCCTTGTAATGGATGTAGGAATCTTGGCTTCCCCATTCTTGCACAGGTAAAAGTTTGCTTTCGTTAAGGTCTAATAACATTAAGATGTAATAAAACCTTTGCCTAGTTTGTAATGGAAACATGAAAATGGTTGCCCATGTTCTTAAGTAAATCTTTTTATCCCCTAAAAGTTCAACTAGTATCTTTGTTCACTTCATAATTTTTTCCCAGTTAAAGAATCAATTAAATGATGTGACTTGCATTATATGTGTGTGCAAATGTGTGCATCATTTACATAACCTTTCTTATTTATTTGGCTGTCTTATTTTGGTGATGGTGGTAGTCCTAGGAAAATTGCATAATGACAAGGTTTTAATATTTATGCTCTGCAAATATATTTTGAACAATGCATTTTAATATTAAAATATAAATTATATTGAAAGGATTATGACAATTAGTTAAAGGTCAGGTTTCAAGAAAACTCCTAGGGCTTCTTGGAAAAGTCTGTGCATTGATTCCCCCGCCCCCCCTTAGCACAGTAGAAATATTACCAAATACTATGTGCACCACTGCAGATTTTGGAGTAAAATCTAATGATGAGAGTTGGACACTATCATTTGGAAATCATTGTTCTGTTCATTAAATCCATTTTAATTTTATTTGAGATAATCTTAAAATTCCTTCCTGTTGTGTATTTTAAACCAAAACCCTGAGTAGCAAGGAGTACTAGTCAACTACATAGACCATAGTGGAAAAAATCGTGTAGTACATGAAATGAAGATTTCATAGTAATTGTCCAGAATGTTACACATAAGGAAACCACAGCCTTCATTTATCTGCCACAATTTGATCACAGTTACTCAAATTCCAATATTTATTATTGAAGGCTATCTCAAATAAGTGAGATCATGTGCTGATCAAATCACCATATGATACTTAAAACTTTCTTAAAGTGAACTACTTATGGTACCCTAAGACAGTATTTTGGGAGAAAGATGAAAAATCTCTCATTCAGTGTATATCTTTTGTAATCAATGGAGGGGCAGTCCTGAATTGGTTCTAAATCGACAACAGTGAATTTGCAGCTTTTAGGGGAAAAATAGTTTCCATAATCTTTATAAAGTTACTGAACTGTAAGTTCCAAACAGGAGAGACCATTCATGTTTTGCCCAGCACGTATGGTATTAGCATTGTTCCTTGCATATATATATATAGTCAGAATTAGGTGATACTCAAGTGAATTGATAAGAAATGTACATAACCTTTTTCTACTTAAAGTTTTTTTACATATAGATTTTTAATGTTTTTAGTATTTTTTTAATTGATTTATATATAATCACTCATATACATTAGGTTTTGTACATGGACTTTTTGTTTCATACAATCATTCATATACATTATATTTTACGTAATTATCTAGCACAGCTCCATGCCTGCCTTTTATCATTACATCTGTTAGAATTTTAATTCGTATCTACTTGGATATATATATGTATATATGTGTGTGTGTGTGTGTATATATATATACATATATATATACATATATATACACACACACACACACACACACATATATATACCTATATAATCTATTTTAATTGACACACTTTCATCTGCTTAATAAAATAGTTTATAACTAGTTAAATTTGCTTATTATTTTTCCTCATAAAATTAACTTCTTTGTACAAATGTATTTTTTTGTATTATATCTAAAAAAGTAGCAAATATTTAAATTTAACATAAATTTTAGGTCATTTTGCTCTTTAAAGTGTCACCCATGATATGACTGTATCTGCTTCACCTTCACCTAACCAAATTTTACTTTTATCATTTTATATTACAATATTTTAATTAAATTGGTTATTTTATTGAGTTGGTATATGTATTGTCGAGTTGGAACAGACCCGTAGCTGACCCTCTGGCGGGTTTTCAGAGGCAGTTAATCGCACAGGAGGAGATTGCCCATCCTTTACCCAAGGAGCAGCTGGTGGGATTCCAACCGTGTGCCTTCGGAATTGCAGTGCAGCTTCTTGCCACTAGGCCACCAAAGCTTCCTCTTGACTTGGTATTGTAACTCAATTTTGTTTAGCATTTTTTAATTATAGAGACAAAAGATTAGATTTTTTTGGCCTATTTTTCTATAAAGATTGCTATTGCTTAAATGAATTTGTAAGTTACTGATTTTGGATGTTGGTAATTTAGTAGTACATTTTAGGAGGTCTGATGGCTTATGCTTTTGTGTGTCTTTAAGTCACCAGCAGCTCTTCAGATGTATTAAGAGGCAGTTAATTACATGGGAAGAGATTGCCCATCCTTTTCCCATGGATCAATTGGTGGATTAGGACCACTTGCTTTTGGGATTGCAGCACAGCGTCTTACCAGGAATTGCATTGCCAATACAAAGGTATGTAGTTCGAATCCACTAAGTGCTCTGAGGAAAAGATGGGCAATCTTCTTCCATGTGATTATTGCCTCTGAAAACCTACTGGACGGTCCACTATGGGGCCATTCTGAATTAAAGGAACGTAACGACAGTTATATTTATCATAAAATGTTCCCCAGTCTGAAACTTTTCCTTTTGTTGAGATTTGTATATAAACTTAGTTGTGTTTTGCCTAGTTTTAAAGCTGTGAGATTTAAACTGACCAGTTGGGAAATTATTTTTTCTGTGTTTTGTTTAATACATTTATCTAGAATTCTTATGAACAACAATCTTAAATATGAGGATATGTGTATTTTTCATTCATTAGTATCCGGTATTCTTATGACTGTATTGGATTTAGAACTTTTCAGATCTCTTTATAGTCTGCATTTTTCAATTTTCTTAAGCCACATGATTCAGTTTTGATATTTTTTATGTAAAATATATGCAGAATAAATCCTTCGTTACATTACTACTGCCAGCTGACATGATTGCTTGCTTTTAATGTTTGTATTTTGCAGTGATTAGGCCAAATTCTTTAAATGTCTTTATTCAGATTTTAATTATTACTGTATTAAATTATTGCTGTGTTAGTTATTACTTCAGTGTTCCTTGATACAGCAAACAAGAATGGGGCACAGTAATTTAATTTAATCTTCTTTTATGGTTGTTTTCATGGTATAGATCTTTTACTATGTTTGTGCATGCTTTACTCTTTAGACAGAAACTCTCCTTAGCATTTGTATGTTTATTTATAAGCTATTAAAAATTTCCTATTTAGTAATAAAGTTATGTCTAATTGGTAATAATTGATTCCTTTTATGCATCAGACATAATATCAAATATAGGCTTAGCCTATTACTTTTAATTAACAACAGTCTGTTTTTAAGTTTATTGTTTAGGAATTTCTGGGTATATTATTCCTTTAAAAATAGTAACTTTAACTTCTGCTTTTCTTATGTTTTCTTATATCATTAAGAGAAACTATAGTAAGAGAACATAAAATTATATTTATAGATATAAATTTTTATGTTGTTGTTATCTGCCATCGAGTTGCTTGTGACTCATAGCGACCCTATGTACAACATCCCTAAACTCTTCTCTGTCCTGTGCCAGTCGCACCGTCTCCAACACACCCAACCCTGATTACCTCCGTCACTAAATCAATCCACCTCATAGAGCGTCTTCCCCTCCTGGGCTGTCCCTCCACCCTACCAAGCATGATGTCCCTCTCCAAGGACCTGTCCCTCATTGCAACATATCCAAAGTATGTTAGACGGAGTCTTAGAATCCTTGCCTCCAAGGAGCAGCCTGGTTTGACCCTTTCCAGGATGAATCTGTTTTCCTAGCAGTCCATGGTATCCTCAGTACTCTTCTCCAGCACCACAGCTCAAAGGCATCAATTCTCCTTCTCTCCACCTTAGTCATTGTCTAACTCTCTAGGCATCAATTCTCCTTCTCTCCACCTTAGTCACTGTCTAACTCTCTGATGCATAACAAGTGATAGGAAAGACCATGGCCTGTATCAGACGCACTTTAGTTTCCAGAGAGACACTATTGCTCTTCAGTACTTTGGAGAGGTCCCTAATAGCAGACTTTCCCATGGCAATACGTCTTCTAATTTCCTGGCTTCTGGTGCCGAAAGTGTTGACTGTGGAGCCTGTATAACTTATTATATTGCTAAGGTGCACTGGTGACCTAGTAGTAAGGACAGGTGCTACAATTCCAAAGGCACACGGTTCCAACCCATCAGCTGCTCCTTGGGAGAAGTTTGGGCAGTCTTCTCCCATGTGACTTACCACCTCTGGAAACCATAGAAGGTCACTTATGGATCAGTTCTGACTCAATGGCACACAACAACAATATTATATTGTTCAGTTCGAAGACATGAAATGATTTTTATTTCTAATATTTTAATTATTTTACGATATAATATTTTTAAACTCAGACCATAAGTTCTTAAAATGCAAAATTAAAGGATTAGTTTGTGTTGCTGATCTTAGACTTGTAAAATTTTATAGTTCTTTGTTCAAATTCTGCACTAAGATACATTCACTCAAGTTTTTGTCTAGATTTTTAAATTCTTCTTGTCAGGCTTCATCTGAATGTTGTGAATTTTGTTTTAAGCCACAAAAATCTAAAATTGGATGAAACAGGATAAAGTAATGGACACTTAGAATTTCAGGTTTATGAATATATTGTATGAATATATTGTATGGCATTTTATTCTTTCATTGTGAATAGATTATTGACATTTCAACAAAAACAATTCCTTTCTTATTGGACAAAACTAAGCATGTTTCTTGTAAATAGAGATATTATGAAAGAATATTATGAATACCTTTATTTAGATGGCCTAAATCTATCACAACACAGATGTAGTATTTTAAAAATATCCAGTATTAAAATATATTTTGAGTTATTAATATTTAAGGTGATAAAGAATTTGGAGGGAAATACAAAATTCAGAGAGGAAGGAAGCTTTTCCTAGAAAAAATTATAAACTCAAATTTGTTTTCAGCACTTATGACAATAATAATCAGCATCTTTTACACAAAAACTAATGTGCTTCAGATATTTTACGTGTTTAATGTGTCAAAATACCACTGAAAGTTAACCTGCTCAAAGTCACATAGCTTATAAGTGTCATTGCTGTGACTTGGAATTATTGTTATACTATATTGCTTTCTTTATTTAATTTAGATATTTCTTATTTCCTATTGGTTTCTTCTGTCCCTGGTTATGTCTTGGGAATTTTTAGAAGAATTTAGTTTGACTCTTTCTAAGACCACAAATGGATGAGGATCTTTGGTAAATGAGGCAACTTCAACATTTTATTACTCATTTATTCATTTAATATTACTATCAAAGGAAGGTTATTCAGAGCAGTTTGAAGGCTGATCATAAGTTGTCATTAGTTTTCTTTGATACCCTTCCTCTTAATATATTCTGTAACGCAGAGAAGTTGAGTTAATGTGTGTGTTATAGTGGATGATATTGCTCTCTTTCACAGTCTTCCGCTGAGATATCCCCCTCTGCATCATGTGGACTGTGATGGTCTTCGCAGTTCTTTAATAAAGTTAGTCGTGGTGCTGGGACACTTCCATCAGATTGCCTCTTCTGGAGGGAAGACCTTGAAGCTCAGCAGTAATTACCAATCCTATTAGGGCTCTAAACCTGAAGACCTTCAACTAGTTGTAGGTTGGCTCTGTCCCATTTTTTGAGGTAACAGACTCCTTTGTGATGGTGCTATGGCTGGCATTTTTGTGTGTGTTGACTTTTGTCCTGATTACTTCTATGCCCCCCCCTTTTTTTATTTTCACCCATAATGATTCCATGGTAGACTAAGCAACCAGTCAAAATAGGAATGCCTTCTGTTAGCTCTCTGTGTCCTTACTTACCCTGTGCCAACCATCAGATAGGAAACCCTTTGTCTTCCATCCATCTCACTCATGTAGCCGTCTGTCTGCAAGGTTGAGGTGAGGATTCCTGTTTTATGAGACAGACTTACAAGCTTTTAAAATGGTCTTCCAGATGATCCCAGTTCATGCAGTCGTTATCTTCATGAGACCCTCAAGGAAGGGGCTGGCAGCCCTTGAAGATGTATTCTCTGAGGGCAAAGCCATGCCCAGAGCATTTGATCGAACAGTAGTAAGGCCCTCTGAGGACGTGTTGGGAGCATCAACCATAGTAATACTGACTTCACTTCCTTCTGGATTTCAGAATCCTGTTCTTACTGGTGCCAAATTTGCCTCAGTCTGCAGTTTCAGTTCTCGTCACATCTCTGGCATGTTTGGTGGGGACTGTGGTCACCACTACTGCTGCTGCCTCTGCTCCTTTGTAAGGCCCTACATTCTGTCTGACTGGGAATCTGTTCTTTCTTGAATGTACTTTATGTGAAAGGAATTAAGCTGGATTTCTTCTTCCATGACATCAATGGCCCCAAATAGATCAGGATCCATGTGAAGGCTCCTAATGCTGACTATTTCTTGCTCTTCCTCACAGTTTTCCCTGGTGGCTTCCTGGGGGGGGGGGAAGAAACAAGGGAAGCAGAGAAGGAAATGAGGCCATAAATACTTACTCTTCTCTTCCTATAAGTGAAACCATTCAAGAAATGTTAACAGGTCGTCAGGTTCAAGCTTTCACTTAAAGCACAAAAGTCCTGCTCTGCTGCCCTCCTGTGGTCATTCAGCTGGCTTCCTCCCTCAAGACCCAGTATCCATTCATTTCTTTATTCAATACTAACCTTTTGAGCTTTTAAAGTATGTTAGGTACAATGGTGGGCTATATGGACATTATAAAGAGATATGTGGTCATTTAAGTTTTGCATCAAGACCATTTGCAGTGGTCCAGATGAGCAGTTTTAAAATACACAAGTGAACACCCTCATATCCTTTTACTTAATACACTTGGGTTAGTATTTCTGAAGAACAGATTCCTAGAAGTGAGAAACTGCACATTTACATTTTGATAGCAAAATGCACTGACAAAGTATACACATGCACAAAAGCATGTCATAATGATATGTACAAAAATCAATACAAACTTGCCCAGTCACAGAGGACATGATAACTCAAATGAGAGACTGTCTACTGGTCATAAATGCCCCACAATGTTAACAGTCCACGTGGGCTATTGGAAATAAGTATTAAGGAAAAATTTCATTGTCAGAATGCTGCAGGTGTCATTAAAATAAAAGCTGACACTCTGACTTCTCTGAAATTTAGCCTTGGAAAGCAGTTAAGAAGTGGTGGCAACCTCCCTAATGTGACAGAGCCCTTGGGGATGTTCAAGTCAGCATAAGGAGAGTGTGTGGAAAGAACGCAGCTTCAGGAGCCCAGCATTAAGCTGCTCTCCAAAGCGCCCTGGCCCCAGGTTCTGGAGTCTGCACGCAGACTTACTGCTAGGCGGCTGTCCTTTTCTTCCTCAAATACAGGTATGCTCATCACATCCCCAGCAGGCACAGCCAGGGTCCCACTGTAAGCCTCCACTGGTGGTCTCAGGAGGTAAACCAGATCTTCCCAGTGCGCAAAAAGATCTTCTCGCACGTCTGAAGAGGGACACAACTGGAGGTAGAAAGAGCGACCAGTCGCAAGCTTCAGGCAGAGCTGCTGCCTCGCAGAGTTGTGGACGGACAGCTGAACGAACTTAAGCGGAAGCAGCCTGGTTAGCTCCAGCAGCTGCCGCCTTTTCCTCTGAGCGCTGGTACAGCTGCACTTGGTGTGTTTGTCACTGGCCGAAATTGGTCGTGCCAGCAGCATGGCATCTGGTACTCCGAGATTGGGGCTGGTGCACACGATGCCCACAGTCACCAGGTCGCCTCTGTTGTGCAGATCTGTCACCTCTCCTCGTTTGCTGACCTGGATAAAGTCGCTCTCAAACATTGGTGCATAATCAAACATCGTATACTCGCCCATGGACAGTTGTCGCTGCAGCTTTCCCTTGAAGATGTCAAAAATGCTCATCTCAAGGAAATTTCAGTGGTGAAATAAAGTGGCCCAGCCCCGCTGCTGGTAACTGTTTGACCAAGATGCTTCCTGGGGCCCTTTGTCTCCTTTCTTATGGTAGATCACAGGGCTACTTGAGTGAGCTCTCTTGGTATCACAAATCCCTAGCAGGGGGGTCTGAAGACCAGTGGCTCAATGTCAAGGACAATAGAGCTCCTGGTTCCAGACGGTGTCACCACCTTCAGCACATCAGGGTCGTCTGTGCATGGAGAGGCCAGGCGTGCAAATATCTGGGCCTGTAGATGTCTGGGTGTGCCTCGGAAGCTGGAAGTGGAGATGTCAGAATGCATAGATGTTGGGGAACTCTTAGGAAGAGCCTTGATTTGAACCCGGCCCACCAGCTACTTCCACTGTTTGGATTTCACAATCCACACCCAGAGTCGCAATCCAACTGCGCATCTCCTGCCTGCCTCCCCCTTGGTCTCAACTATATCCTGGGGGCTGCTTTAATATGCCCCTGCCCATTGTGACAGGGCACCATCACACACACCTTTGTCTCTGTCACCAACAGTCACTCCACCAGGGCAGGGGCTCCTCCCTGCTCTTAATGCAGCAGCCTGGAGGGGTGTGGGTGGCTGTGACACCTCAGGAGATGCGCTACTGAAACTGTTTTTGCTTTCTTTTAATTTTGATTTTAACAAAATTTACAGAGAAGTTGGATTTTCATTCATTCATTTTATTTCATCTCCCTCCTTTCCCCCTCCCTCAGTTCACATTTAAAAAAAAATTCCTTCATTGTTGCATAATTACCTCCCTCCCTCCCCGACCCCCAGGTTTGAAGGTTTGAAGATGTCCATGCTTGCTGAGAAATTACATACAAAAGTGTTGCACAAACTCTGTTGAGTATCTCACTCTCACTGCTGTCCAGATGGAACCATAGTTGGTCCTCCTGTAGACTTTTTCAGAGGCTATACATCGGACAGGAGGAAGGAGATGGCACATCTTTCTCCTTTGGCCCGGCTGGTGGATTGGAACTGCCAGAGAGGCCCTGCCTTTGAGCTACCAGTGCAGCCCCCTATGGACTGGACCATGGGTTAAGAAATAGACTTAATTTTCCACACAGTTCTCATCTGATCTAATGCAGTGTTTATTATCTAGCTGTTCTTTTGCCATTCTCTCCTTACACTCCCCCCCCCCTTATATGTATAAGAGCAATCTGGAACAAGGTGTGCTTTGCTAGGAGGGTTAAGGGAGAGAGGAAAGAAAATGTACATTAGGAGAAAAAGGGTAAAATATAACATTTTTATTTTTTTAAAGAAATAGACTTAACTTTAAAAAATTTATTTTATTAATTTTAATGAATGTTTACAGAGATTTTGCATTTCCATTCATTCATTGTTTCTAGACTTAATTTTTAAATCTAGCATGTATAACTATGGACATCCACTCCTAAAGTAACCAGACAAATTGGTAGAGAGGTTGGTATAGACTATTTATTAACATTTCTTACAAGCAAAATTAGTATCTTACAATGAATTGGTGTCTTGGATTGAATTTTGTCCCCCTAAATACATGTCTGTAATGATATAATGTTAGTGAGAAGGGAGCTCTGGTGGCCTAATGGGTGAGGAGTTGTGCTAACAACACAAACATATGCAGTTCGAATCTACCAGCTGCTCTGTGTGAGAAAGTTGGGCAGCCTCCTCTCTGAAAACCCACAGGCAGCTCAGCTGTGAGTCAGTTCCATCTTAATGGCATATAGCAACAATGATATCATTGCCAGGGATCTGATAAACCAAAGAACTGTAAGAGAATTAAGGGTGGAATGTAATACCATCTCATCCCAGCTCAGTCCTGACACTGGGGAGTTTCTCTAAGGTGTGGCCTATAGTACCTTTAATTTCACTAGAGATAAAAGGAGAAGAAAGCCAGCTGAGAGAGAGGGACTTTATCTTCATCAAGAATAATGGCTAGGAGCAGAAACTCTCTTTCTGTGGAGTCAGAATTGATTCGTAGTGGATCCTCCAGTAGGTGTTCAGAGGCTGCAAAGTGCCCAGGACAGGATTACTTGTCATTCTCCTCCAGAACCCCTGGCTGGTATGTCTTTTGGGACTTGGGCCCCTTTTCAGGGAAGTTCTTTGACAGCGAGAAAGGCCAGAACTCAGTGGAAATCTGCAAGGAATGCCTTGCCTGTAAATGCTGAAGGAAACTCGTCCTTTCCTTTACAACTAACAGAGAGAAGGTGGACCTTTCCTTAGAGCTGGGGTTGTTGCTGTTGTGTACTATTGAGTCAGAACAGACCCACAGCTGACCTTCCAGCAAATTTTTCAGAGGCGGAGGAGAGAGTGCCCATCTTTCTCATTCAGAGCAGCTGCGGGATTTGAACTATGTGCCTTTGGGAATGCAGCACAGCTTCTTGCCACCAGGCCACCAGAGCACCCATCACCAGAGCAGGCAGCCTAAATTTAAAGTTCTTGGCTCCTAAACTGTAAAAGCATGAATTTCTGTTTGTTGAAGCACTTCACTTGTTCTGTATCTGTGATATCAGTGTTGACTAGTAAGATTATGGCCTAAATAAATTCATAAGAATTCTATGAATGAATGCATTTTAAGCCATAAACATGATTATATTTCTCACTGTTTATTAACATTGAAAAGATATCAATGATGTTAATATAATTTTTTAAAAAGCACAACAGATTTCAGACTAGCCTTGGAATTGTTTTCTAATTTATGTAAAAGTGTCTCTGCATTGGTGGTTATAGGCATAAATTCACTGGTATACTGAGAGTGCCTATATGTGAATGGTGTGATTTTTATTCTCTTCTATAACATTTTAACCATTTTTTCCTGGGATAATTATTTCTGTTCTCAGAAGAGATAATGATAATTTACTAATGTATGTTTGTTGTTGTTAAGTGCCATCAAGTGGTAGACGACTCATAGCAACCCTATGAATGAAAGACCTGAACACTTGTATAACTTTCATTGTTTCTTCAAGTTCATAGGATTTCTAAAGCCAAGCTATTTCAGAAGTGGATGCCACTCCGGCTTCCAAGCTTACTTTAATCAAGGAGATCCATCAAACACTGTCCATCATGGGTAACCATTATCACCTTTGACACATCTGTGTCACAGTGTTCACCATTACGGCAACCACGAGTTACCTGGTACAGCAAATGGACAGACCAGTGCTATACCACTTAGAAGAATGTTTGACCAAAACCAATTAAAATCCAGCTTGAGTTCTGCAGGTTAAAATCACCCACCTTTGGCTTGGTAGCCTCACTTTCTATGTATTTACAGCCATTTAAATATGTTACACACACAGGCACACACAGGCACACACACACACACACACACAACACACTCACTCTTAAAGAACTGATGATTTATTCTTCTCAAGTTTCTGTATCTTCATTATACAGTGAAAAGAGTCTCAAATATCACTTTACGTCTGTGTCTTTACCTGGTATCAGACTATTAACTATAGAAACCCTAAAGGAGCCCATGAGGTGCAAAGATTAAGTGTTCACCTGTTAATAGAATGTTTAGTGGTTCAAACTCACCCAAATGACTCTGAGGGAGACATACCTGGTGATCTGCTTAGGAAAGATTATAGCCCAGGAAACCCAGTGGGCCAGTTCTAGTCTGTCTCATGGAATTATTGTAAATTGAAATTGACTCAAAAGTTCCTAAAAGCATAGATGCAATGAGGTATTTTGCCATTTGCTAGAAATTCCATTAACTCAGTAATATTATAATATTTTTAGTGTGATAATGTTCATGGCCATAGTAACAAAATCCCCAAAACTGTTGCCTTCCAGTAGATATTAACTCACAGGAACCCTAAGGGACAGAGTAGAACTGTCCCATGGGGTAGCTTTTGTGCCTTTAAATCTGCAGTCACATTTTCGTCCCACAGAACAACTGGTGAGTTCAAGGTCATGATGAATTATTGTTTTAATATACTATTGGATTCTATTGGCCAGGATTTTACAAAGGATTTTTGCCTCTATGCAAATAAGAGGTATTGGTCTATAGCTGGTGTTGTGTTTGTTTTTTTTTTTTTCCTTCTTTCCTTTTTTCTAATGTCTTTGCCTATGACTTGATGGCATTTAACAACAACATAGAGAGAGCTCACTTGGCCTAGTGGACAGAAGTCCCTCAGGCCTGATTTTAATTGTTTTTGGTCAAACATTCTTCATAGTGGTATAGCACTGGTCTGTTGATTTGCTGTACAGAGGTAACTCGTGTTTGCTGTGGTGCTGAGTACTGTGACCCTAATGTGTCAAATGCAACATTGGTCACCCACGGAAGACAGTGTTTGGCAGAGCTCCTTGATTAAAACAAGCTTGGAAGCAGGAGTGGCATCCACTTTGAAATAGCTTGCCTCTGGAAACCCTATGAACTTAGTTATACATGTGTTCAGATCTTTCGTTCTTAGGATCGCTGTGAGTTACCTATGACTCAATGACATTTAAAAACAACAATGTCTTTGCCTAGGTTTGCTATTGGAGTTATACTTGCTTTATAGAATGAGTCTGTTAGTGTTCTTTATTTTTCTATTTTTTAAAATATCTTAAGTAGAATTGGTGATAATTTATCTCAGAATGTTTGGTGGAATTCACCCATGTATCCATCTGAGCCAGGAATTTTTTGGGGGGAGTCTTTTGAGGATCTGTTCAGCTATTTCTTTTATGATGCGTCTGTTCAAGTGCTGTATAATTCATATATGCCAATTTTCATATAAATATGAAGGGATTTTTGCCATGAATAAACATTACGAAGTATTTCTCTGAGGGTTCCAGTAGAGCATTGCTAATTGCCTTGTCACAAGGCAACCAGTAATCGTAATTCCTGTAAGGGCCTGCTCACTTTACAGAATTTTTTACAAAGTCGTTGTTGGATCATAAAAGGCAGACTTTATTTGGCCTGGTCATCATTGTGAGTATCATTTTGGCAAATGTGTCTGGATCTTTGTGAGTCTGAGAAATTTGCTGAATTCCTTCCAGCTC